GCCTTCATCTCAGCCTCAGCATACAAAAAGATCGAGTATAAGAAAATAATTTGTGTCTCATGCTATTTTAATGTAATTTTTAAAGCAAAAAGCATGTTTTATTAGTGAGTAGAATGTGCCTAGTTGATAATGCAGAGCAAAATTTAGTGCAGCTTCAACACTATAAGAGCTGAGCGCTTTTAATTAAACAAATTGTTTATTATTTGTTATTTATTATATTTATTTTTAGCTGTATATAAATTATCATATAAGTGCGCTTAGCACGTTTATTTAATTATTTATTTTATATTTCATTTATGTATAATTTACAGCAGGTTTTAGTAAGCGCTCACCAAACAATAAAGTCAAATTGTTCGCATATTTGTGCAGTTGAATTTGCAAATGGAATTTCTAGCGAGCAGAAAATAATAAATTGCCCGGAAAACGCTTCGTTCTTCGGCAAAGCATTCGAATAATTTGCCAAGAATGTGCCACTTGCAAAGTCAGTTTCAATGCTGTTTAAATACGCAAAGCAATTGAGCTTCAACCTAAATAAATTACGCATCTCAAATGTCGGCTTTTCGAGAGAAAGCGAATCTCGTGCAGCTGAAATTTGATAAGTCTGACAATAGCTGCAGGCATAGTCACATTCATAGCAATTGTCAATTGAGCTGAACATTTAAAATGGAATTTAGTTGTATATGCTTTAAATATCAATGACAATCACTTAATATATAAATATATATACATTTAATTGACTCTGAATTGTGCTTTATTAGCTTGTGTAAATACATTCTGCTGTGAAAGATATTTAAGTCTTTAATCTGTAAAATATAGATAGAAAACATAGATTATATATTTCTCTTGAACAAATAAGAACGTGGCAGTCGACCGGTAATAACTAGGTAATGCTCAAAAAATAGCTAAATGGATCGTAAACAATTCAGGGCTTTCACTTTGAATAAACTAAGCAGTGAGGCAGCTGCAGAACTTTGTGAACTTATCACAGAGATAATGAGCTTAGCGGTGGCTTTTTACTTGACCACTGGAATACCAAATACCAACTCAACAGCTTCAATAGTTATTTGAAATGCCTTTAAGCAGCCAAAAATATTATCTAGCCACAACTGAAGCTTACGATTTACAAAAGTTGAGTTCTCTTTATAGCGTCAAGTCTAGTCATGAGAATCATGAATTATGTTCAGTTATTAGCAGCGTCTTCGTCCGGCCTATGCACAGATATTAATACTGGCATCCATCTCTTATCTTACAAGTTAGTTACAATCATTGAGTGGGTCTGTGTTTTAACAGAACAGACATTGATTTGCCAGGTCCCTGATGCCCATATGCGTCTTAATCTGAGCACTTTATAACAAGTAAAAGTTGTAGCCTCTAGCTATTACTGACTTAGAGAGAGAAATTAGAGAGAAATGGATATGGAGCATAAAACACTCTTGACTCATATTAAATTAATTTTAAAATCATAAATAATAATAAATTTAACATTTTCTTAACAAATATATAATAAATTATTTATATTTCTATAAATTCTTAAAATTCTATATATAAATTTAATTTAATATTTATTTCTGCGCAGTTTTATTTGCAATTTAATTTATTTGCACAAATATTAATGCGACCCCAGGTATTTACCGCAAAGAATTTGCGGAAAAATGAAATAAAATAAAATATACATATGTATATATATACAAACACATACATATATATATATATATATATATATATATATATATACATATATATATTTACAGTATATAGTATTATATTTATATTTATGGCCTTTGCTTTTCGATAATTTATTTGCACAATTCGAATATTCAACTGGGCTTAGCAAACGTATTTCTTGTATGCAAAGTGAATGTTTATTTATTTATGGCATATTGCAGCAATTAAACTGTTTTAAGTAAATGAAAAACAAACACATATAATCATTTAATATATTAAATCACTTACTTTATTTATTTTTGACTATTTCTATTTAATTTATTTTATTTCGCATCAAAAAAGTTGAAATTTTTCTGTGGCGCACAAAAGTATGCTATGAAAAATTGTGGAAAAATATCTGCGGGCAGCAGCAGCAGCAGCAGCTGTGCTGCAGATGAATTCTATCTTTAGAAAAAATATGCTTCATTATGCGGCCACATGTTGTGCACGTTGCTGTTCTTATCTGGGTGTGTGTGTGTAATTGGCATGAACAATGTTCCTATTTTATTACGCAATTATGTGAGCATGTGTGTGTGCGACGGTTCAATTACTGCAGCGCATTTATCAGGCATGCTTATGGCCCAATCAAATTATATAGCCATAATTCGCCTATTTACATAGATAGATATTTGAGGCTCAGTTTAAGAGGCAATTTGCGTTAAACGTTGATTGAATAAGCGTTAATGCAACTAGCATTGACTAAAGTGTTATGGCCTAAATGCACACACACACACACACACATCTAAGTGTGTGCACTTGTTCATAGCATGACATCAACTAGCAATCAGGCTATGGACACGTGCACCGGTCAACTGACTCATCGATTGACTGGTTGTGCCTTCACACCTGAACACGTACAGAGCTGCAGCGTGAACAATGTCAGGCAACTAACGTCATTTGCTGTGCTAATGGCGAGCTGTACAGGAAATGCCATTAGCACAGTTTTCTCAGCAAGAAAATGCATTAACTCTGCCTCGGAAGTGCGACTTGGACCACGTTGCTGCCTTATGACAGTGACTCTTGACGTCAGGTTTATTAGCAGCACATTTATCATAATTAACGCCTCGCAGCTAGCCAGACCGACAGACAAACAGGCAAACTGACAGCCAGACAGACAGGATATAATCTATGCCGATTCTAACATGCCCAGGCGAGGGCCAAAAAAATGTGCTCGTAAAATGCTTGGAATTCCATTGTTAAAGCCGCCAACGAAATGCCAATAGCGCCCATCAAGCAGCAGACGATGACGGCGACAGCTCATAAAGAATGCTACAGGACACGCAACAGGAAGCAAACGCCGCCTACAAGTGTGAAGTACCAAAGGCAGCAACAAATGAGTATAAAAAAATAAAGGTAAAAACAAAGAATTTATACGCACCGTGGCAAATGATTCATGCGGAAATAAAGGCACTCGTGAGTGCCACAAATATTGTTGCAGGCACCGCAGGCGCGCAAAATGTGGCAAAGAGACAAACACACACACACACACGGACACGCACCACAAAGCTAACTTTTGCATTTTTATTTCGCACCTTTTGGCACACGCACCTGAGTCCAGCAAGGGCCCTTAAGAGCGCACGGCCTAATGGATCAGAAAAGCGTAAAGCAAAGACAACATTTTTCGCTAGCTGCATTTATTCCAGTTGTTGTTGTTGTTGCACATTTTAATTGACATTTTGATTGTTTCATAGCGCGATTCGATTTGATGTGCAATTCACGCTGACTGGCAGGAGGCGCTACATCGAAGGGGGCGGGCTGGCACTCAGCGTATGAGTGAGTGGGTCACTCGGCGGCATTAGTTGGTTGGGGCAAGCGGACAGGCAACTGTTGAAGTGTGGCGCCAATGCGTCGACTCACCAAATGAGCGCTCAACAGTTTGTTGCAGAGAACGATGCTTGAAGAGAGGGAGACAGAGAGAAGCAGAGTGAGAGAGGCAGAGCGCACTGAGAATGTTTCAGCAACATGCTGCTAAAGTTTCTTTTGCCAAATATACAAAGATTTAATTAAGAAATATAAATCAAGTATACGCAATTATGTTTAAGTAAATAAACATAGCCAAGACTTATCCAGAAATAAATATATATAAACAAATATATATTAAGCTTTACGTATAAAATATGTGTTTAAGCTTTCATAGTCCATATAGTCTCATCTAAAGATGTTTTTGAGTATTTGTTTTCTATAATCTTGTTTAGGCATATATTGAGAAGAGTAGTTTTTTAAGAAGTTTTAGTCATGTTTGCTTATCTGCCTCAAATTGTATCTATACAATCGGAAAACTAAATACAGTTCAATCATTCTACTTTATACTACTTGGCAATGAAACTAAGTTCAAAACACTTGAGAGTAAAAAGAGTTTGACTCACTTTAGTGTCAACTATAAAAAGTTGAATCTGGTGCAGCGTTTGAGTCGCATTCATTAATAGTTGCTGGTAAGCTTGTTGCAGAGTTAATTAAATGTTTAAGCTTCTTGCTTATTGCATGGTATTGTGTTCAATAAATATAATATAAAATATTAATAAATTTATTTTTATATGATAATAAATAAATATAATAAATTGATCTAACTTTGTTACACACATAAAAAAATTTCTTTTGTAACAAGCCAAAATAAAATCAAATTTTAGTTTGTCTAATACATTTCACGACTCGTTTTTATAATAAATTTTTGGCACTGAGACAGCTTTTGAAAATCAGAAAAGTTTATAAAAAATAATACAAATTTGACTAGAATTAATCAATTGAATAAATACATCGTGTTTATAGGCATTATATTGGGATCATATTAATAAATTAATTAATATAATTTGAGATATGCCAAAAGACTTTTTAGTACCAAAGTTTGTCAACTAATGATGATAAATAAATACTAAAAAATGTTAATTAAAATATATTTATAAATATTATAAATTGATATTTATGTACAATAATATTCGACAATATATTAATAATATGCCTACTTTGAGTTTTCAGGAAAACTTTAAATAATTTTATATATATGAACACAGTGAGATGACTTTCGGGCCACTGTAACAACTGCCAAACTTGTTGCTAAAAACGCGCCAAAATAAAAAGACAGCACACACACACACACCCATACAGACACCGACGCCCACAATGGCAGTCAAATAACAAAAAAAGAAGGCGACCAAAATGCGCACCGCAGCAGTCAACACTGCAGTCATCGCGATGAGTAATTTTCACCACCCAAAACAACACAAGCCACCCTAAAACCACCCCTACCCACGTAACCCACTCTACACAGGCCGCCCAGCTGTCAGCAGTAGCAAACTCACCTGTTAGGCGCAGTATGATGCCTGGCCACTGTGGCTGCCTTCACTATGCCCACTTATTCACCACGGCCAACCGAAACTGTGGTGAATTCAGCGCTAGCTACTCGGTTCGTCCGCGAGCACTCGACCAAAGCAGTTGCGACGCGACTAAAGAACGTGACGGACGTGCGAGCGCTCGACGCTTTCCCCGCAAAGCTCAATCCAAAAAAGTTTCTGAAATAAAATATACAAAAATTTTCCAAATGATTACAAAAAGTTGCAAATTTTCCAAAAAATATAAAATTGAATTTACAAAACGGGATTTCCAAAGAAAATGTTAAATATTTCATTTAAAAATTTCTCTAATTTATAAATATTTTTAACAAAATGCAAAACGCGTGTTGAATTTCCTGATTACGAATTGTTTGGTCCAAAAATTCAGTTAGTCGTTAGCTCTCGCGGACAACGAACGTACGCAAAGAACGTGGCTTAAACTGGCTGATAAGAGAATGGAATAACGGTAAAGATTTAAAATTTAATATTAGATTAAACTATATTTAATTTTATAAGGAAATGTAAGACTATAGAGTAAGGACAAAATATTAAGGATTAAAGACTAAAGACTAAAGACTAAAGATTAAAGACTAAAGACTAAAGACTAAAGACTAAAGACTAAAGACTAAAGACTAAAGACTAAAGACTAAAGACTAAAGACTAAAGACTAAAGACTAAAGACTAAAGACTAAAGACTAAAGACTAAAGACTAAAGACTAAAGACTAAAGACTAAAGACTAAAGACTAAAGACTAAAGACTAAAGACTAAAGACTAAAGACTAAAGACTAAATGATTAAAGACTACTTAGTATTTATTTTTATATTATTTAGGATTTTTAAAATAATTTTTGTTCTAGTGTTTTTAGAGGAAACTTATGCTCTAGACTTTAGAGTATTATCTTCCAATTTACCTACGGGCAATTCCCGGATCGCATTTAAGTACACACACGTTTAACACTTGTGCTTCGATTCTTTTGGCAGTTCAATTAGTTTCAAGCTGTCTACAGTTCTCCACTTCAAAGTTTAATTACAAAAAGTTTTGAGCCAACGATGACGAGGGAAAAGAAACCACATGAAGCGCAAGTTATATAGAACATTTGCTGGCCACGCACTAATTGCGTTTCTCGCTGACGGATTGCACCAAAAATATAGCCCAAAACAAATCCTCGAACAACGCGTCAGCCATTGTTGTAGTTTTTGTTTTCTGTTTCCGTTTCGCGCCGTGTTTGATAAGCGCCTTATCAGCTGTTATCTATACTAAGAGGGCTATTGATAAGGTGTTTTACCTGCGCACACACGATAACAATGGCATAAAATAGAAAAACGATATACTACAGATATCTCTATATATATAAATATATGTCATGGCAGTTCTTTGTACAAAAATTGTCATGTGATACAAATTCAACTCGATTGCGAAGTTCAACTTTTTGTAGCATACGCAACGGCGCATTGCATTGTCATTTAGTAATTGGAAAATAGATTAGCGTTAAGCGTGGTTCGCATTGGACTTTCCCGTTATTCACTTAATGTGTGCAGTAAATGACTCGAGCTATCAAGTAGCATAAGAGAAAGACTGTTTTAACTACAAAGTATTGACAGTTTTAGTATTATAATAAAGTTCTATGAAATATTTTTAAGAAATATTATAATCGAATAGACAATTAAACAAACTAGTTAGCTAAAGTTTTTATAAAAAATAATTAACAACAGATTCTATTTAAAGTATATATCAAGCTAACTTCAGTTGAACCTAGAATTACATCTAGCTCACTTCGCTTGCTTTTGGGCAATATTTTTGGTGTGATTAAAATTTTTATAAAAATTTTGTTAAAAATTTTGAAGTGAAGAACAAATTTTTTTTTTTCAATCTATGTTTATTTTTCAAAAAGAAAAAAACAAAATTTATATGGATAGTAATCTTAGATTGTTTTTAATTTCGATCTTTTACATATACATTTGTATCTTAATGAAAACATCAATTTTGTCTTTTTCTTTTGAAAAATATAGTTAGATTTTCTTAGTTAGTTACAAGTTCTAGCTCAAATCAAACACATACATAATGCAAGGTTTCAATGACCGTTTGCCATGACACACTTGAAGCTAGCTATTAGATTGGCAAATCGTTGCTTGTAAGCTCTGCTGTCGCTGGGCTCGTTGTCAATGGGAATGTGATTTAATATGCAGTATCAAGTATACGCAGTGTGCAAACGCACGTCACATTGTACGTCAGCACCTTTCATTAGAGTTTTTTCTCTATTCTTTTTTTGAAAAGTTCTGTAGCTATGCACACAACTGCGATAACATGCATTCCTGTTACATACATGTACAAATCTGCTGTAAAGAAATTTGCTTTGTTTAGGGCCAACATGCATTAAGCCTGCTGGGCAGCTGTCAGCCGTGGGCAACAAGGCACATTCGCAAATACATATACTCATGCACACGGGGGTACCCCTTTTTGAATCCTGTAAAGTCTGCACAACAATAATAATGCGTATTACTTTGCCTTTCATTGGTAGCAAACAAAGCAAACACATAAAAACACATTTACAGTTGAGCCATTGGCTTAAGTCCCTTTAGTGCAATAAGTTCTCTACTTAGTTCGTGTTATTTGTACAGATTTTCACCAACTTTTAACTAAATTCTATTTTCAGCTGCTGGGCGGCAAGTGTCGAAGCCATGTTGAGGCAAAGCAGCTAAAACATACAAGAAAATCAAATCAAATCAAAATTCAATTGTGTTTTCTGTACTTTTCCCGAAATACTTTTTGTTACGTTTCGTTTTGTTGTCTGGAACATTAAAAAGGAATTATAAATTGAAATCCACGTTGAGTGCAAAGTGTTTACAATCAGCTTTCGGCTGGGCCACAGCTTTTCGCGGCATTTTCTTTTCGGTTTTCTGCTTTGAAATGCAACATTTATTTCACAATCAGCAACAACAACAACAACGACATCAATTTAAAAGCTCAAATATTTTCGAACCTCACCACTTGTGTAAATCAAATAAAAAACAAATTGTGGCTTTAATTTGAGTTCAAGTTTTCCTATGAAAAACATAAAAATAAAACCAAAACACAAAATTCAAAATTATAAAAAAATATAAATTAATCAATAATTAATTATAAAAAAAATTAAAATAAAAAAAAATTTGTCAAAATGGCGATGGAATGGATAACTGCTATGGACAAACGGTATGTAGAAAATAAAATTGATTTAAATTTTAATTTATTATAATTTAAGCAAAATGTTTTAGCTTAAGAAAAGTTTAGTAAGATTTAGTTGAAGTTTGTTTCGTATACAATTAATTGAGTTTTCAGATGAGATTTTTAGTTGCCAGAAATTGTTTTTTCTGCTCTATATATAGAGACAGAAAGCAAAGATAATGCTAGGTAAACAGAAGTCTGATGCCCAAATATGAGCGACTAATGGAAGCAAAGTGTGAGGCATCATAAAAAAGTATATCAAAGAAGAGGCTTTGAGCTCAAAATGATATCACAATAGACTGGCAATGATATATGAGAATCACAAAGAAAGGCGCTACACAAGAAAAAAACATAGAGTCGATTTGAGTTAAATGTTCTTATGAGACAGCTAACACATTAATAACAGTAAAAACAACTGTTCTTTATAGATAGAAATACATTAAATAGTCAAAAACAAAAAAATATAAAATTGTTTTATCATTCACATTTTCTGATGCATGAAAGTACTTTTCCGCAAAGATAAACAAAAAATAAACTTTAGATTAAAATTGTAGCCGAGTGTAAAAAATTACTATGAGATAAATAATGCGAGCTGCGAAATCACATTTCAAGCTTGAGTGAAATTAATTAAATTAAAATTTAAAATTCATACGCTCAAGAAGCGAACATTTCAATTTGTCAGCAGAGAGAACTTTTTGGCAGACGACATGCTGCTACATCATTATTTAAGCAGCAGCAGAGGAAGCACTGAAATCGTGTATGTTACGCTTAAAATGTTTATATCATGCTCGACATTCATCTGTCAAACGGCAGCAGCTGTGCTCAGCATCAATTCCGTGCTGCTGCAGTCCGGGCAAATCTAAATCCAAATGCTGGACACGGCTGGCTACAAATTATACGCTTTATTAAATTACAATGGCATTTTAAGCACAATTCTTGGCCAAATGCAATTACAAAGCTGCTGCTCACTTTTTGTTCAAAGTGCCCCACACCAATCGAAATGTCCTCGAGCAACGACCGGCGGCAATGCGGCCCCTTTCCAGTTGATTAGCGCAGTGGAGTAGCAAAAATTTGTGAGCTGACGAATTGAGATGGGCGGGACGACTTAGCTTTCAAGGGCCGCATTCAAGCGCAAATTGTGCTCATTACCAAGACCAAACTAAAGTAGCAAAATATATAAATATATATACATACATATATACATATATATATATATATATATATGTATGTAGTTAAGAATATACTTTTCATAGCACTCCATGGAATAGAAAGCATCATTAGCCCAAGTGGCAAAACGTTTCGGCTCGATTATTTTTGCGGCAGCTGCTACTTGGGTTTCAACTGCATGTACCGAAAAATAGCTACAATCTAAATGTTATATCAAGGGCGGTTACAGTTACGCTTGCCACGCCCCCACACACACACACAATCAATCAGCACTTGCCCGCTGGCGGCTTAAATGAACAGCGTAGCAACCTGGCAAAAATCCAGCATACAACAGGGTCAGCTAGCGAGCTAGTGAAAAAGGTCGAGGGCAAAAAGGGTTTTAAGCCAGCACACACACACACACACACACACACACACACACACACACACACACTATGCACACACATACATCAAACTGTTTGCTTTGTGATTTTGCGACGGTTTTTTGTGTGTGCTGCAAATATTTGTGTTTCCCGCATTTGTTTAGCTCTTTCTTTACTGCATTTTTTATTTGCACGCTAACTGAAACAATAAGTGCGTTTATGGCTAAAAACCAGCTGCAAGTGGCAGTTCAGAGAGCTAAAGAGTAGGTCGACTGTAGCATGCCCTGTGGGCAGGTCCGAAAAGAGTCTGTTGAAACTTTTATAATATAATTTGCATAGATAGAGCTACTTTATATAAATCTATATAAATATATCTAATTTATTAGAAGTTGCTTTTGATGTCGACTAGTAGATACTCTGTAAGAAGCTTTTAGCATTTGTATGCCAAA